GTAACCGCCACTACTATGCAGGTTTATATAATATGTAGAATAAAATATAGTATATTATATATAAGTACATAATAATAATACATAAGTTTTATAAATTCAGTTAGGGAATTTATGTTTCAGTGTTGGTATACATGACTTGAACAAGTTTTTCTTTTTTTTTCTCAGCTCTTATCAGTTTTAAGAGAACGGCTACACACTCGCTCCGGGAAACGACGCTCACGACGCCGTAAACGTGTTTTTACGGTCGTGGTTCTGGAGCACTCCTTCGCTCGTGCGGTCGTACGTCGTATACGTGCTCACGTATTATTTTCACGCTCTTGGTGATCGCCATCTATTTACTGTGTCACATACGCTCCCTGTGCTCAGCTTCCGCTCCGACGCTCCGTGTTCATTCGTACACAAGAACTTGCTATGGAGCATTTGTCATTATATGATACAGCAGTTCGCTTACGTCGTTCTTGTGATCGCAACTTTAATATTGCGGTAGTGCGTGTGCTCCACGTGGTTGTTCCAGCTCCGGTTCGTAGTAGCTCAGCTCGGCAGATCAGTCTTCGTTCAGAATCCAGCTCCGGTGTGCAGAGCGGTGATCCCCGGCTCCCCTTTACTTTTGTATAGACCTTTCATATGCGTCTAATATCATATGTGTATAATCAGTATTGTATTTGTGGTATAATATAGGTTATGGTGCATTGCATAGTACGCGCCATGTGAATATATTTTTGTTTATGTCACTTATATAGTTGTATCTATTTAGCTTAGTATAATATTCTTCTTACAACGGTCCGGAGGACTAAGCGACTGACGTACGCCTCAGTAAGGCCCGTTAGCGCAACATCAACCGTATTAAATCAATTTTTGATCTAGGGTTGTCTGGTGAATCCGATCTGAGCGCCCGACAAAGGTTTTTAATTTCGATAAATGATCTGTCAGATCTATGGGGAAAGTTCGTGGTTGAGAATGATGCAGTTTTGGATGCACTGGTTGATTTAGGTGAAGAGGCGGAATTCTTAACTTCGGTCGAGATAGAGGCAAACGAAATGGTGGTTTCTGCCAGAGCTTTGGCTATTAATTTTTCGTCCTCATTGAATATACCCTCCGAAAGAGTAATTGAAGAGCCAAGATACTATACCTCCTGGTTCGGTTAAATCGTCAACGGTAACAGTGTCGGCAGTTCAGCCTTCGCACTCGGTGTGGTTACCAGAAATTCCTCTTCCCCAGTTCTCGGGTGACCTGGTGGATTGGCCAAACTTTCGCGATAGGTTTGTCGCTCTAGTGGGCAGTCGCTCCAATATTTCTAACATTGAGAAATTCTACTACGTCCTGAGTTGTCTTGAGCTTGAGGCATCTGAGGTCATAAAGGGTATAACGGTTTCAAATGAAACCTATCCACTTGCCTGGAAGGTGTTAGTGGAACGGTTCGATAAACCGCGCAAGTTGGCGTCGTTTATCTTGGATACGATTTCATCAGCTCCGATGATTCAACAAGAGTCGGCTTCCTCGTTAAATAAATTTTTGAATATTTTTGATGAAAATATAGGTATTCTCGAATCTCTCGAAATTCCAGATTTTGGCGATTTTCTGTTGTTCTCGATCGCCTTTCGATCCTTGCCTGTGTCGTCACGTCGTCTGTTTGAAATGACAAATTCGGAAGAGTACCCGAAGGCGCAGGAACTTTTCAAATTTGTGAAGAACCGAATTCAAGTTCTGGAATTGACAGGAGGAACTCCGGCTTCCTCTGGTACCAAAGAGGGACGTCCGAAACCGTCAGATTTCAAGAAGGAATGGAAGAATGATCAAAAGACATCTACATCGCTAGTGACAACGCAGTCATCCAGTACTCCGTCTGCAAAGTCTGTTAATTGCCCAAATTGTGATGGTCCACATCAGCTAAGCAATTGTTCCGGGTTCAAGGGACTATCAGTAGATGACCGATATGGGGTAGTATCGAAACACAGACTTTGTATGTCGTGTTTCAGCAATCAACACTGGTCGAGCAAATGCAAGAGAAGCTGTTCCAAATGCAATCGTCATCACTACGTGCTCCTTCATAAGGATTTTGCAACAGGTCAGGGCCCTGCAGCCCAGCAGCCACCCGCCGTAATGCTTGGTTCTCAACCTTCTTTATCCGTGTTACTCGTTACTGCAATAGTGATGGTTCGGGACGTTAGCGGGGATCTCCAACCGGTCAGAGCTCTTCTTGATTCCGGGTCACAAACCAGCATCATCAAGAAAAGTTGTTTAAATCGTCTAGGTCTCAGGCGGTCAAGATGGACGGCCTCACTGACAGGGCTCTCTGGTCAGTCTGTTCCTAAGGTTTTAGGAAAGGTTAAATTGGATGTGTGGTCTTGTTATGAGCCAGTTCCGGTCATAACAGTCACGGCGTAGGTTTTACCTACCATAAAGGCAGATCTGCCAAGCCAACAGTTGAACGTCGGTGTAAGGGAAGGATGTTCCCATCTGAAGCTCGCAGACCCCTCCTTCGATACTCCAGCTCCGGTGGATTTGTTGTTAGGAGCCGACGTCTTACCTAAGACTAAGCTGGTCCGCTTACCCACCGAATAACTAATTTATATCTTTAACTTGCGGTTCCCTTAATGACTCAGTAGTTATAAGGGCACCTATGTACAGCTTACCCCTTTTGTTCATAAACACCTTAAGTCAGCTCTGACGCGCTCTGTTACCGGTGTATGGGCGCCGGTGATTCGGTCTGGTACGATGAGGGGGTGTGATATTTATTATTATATTGTAGTTATCTGTTATTATCATTTTATTAATTTGTTATATAATATCAGTTGTTTTGTATCTGATATGCCTGTTATATCGTATTCTTTATTATTTGATATGTTTGTTTATTATATTAAAAAAAAAATGTAACTAGGGAATCCTTGCCATACATTTCCTTTTCTGGACGCAACCATACCAGCCATCTACACCAAGGCGAAGAATTACCGGTTCCAGTTTTGTGAGACCACGTCTCCCAAGGGGGGAGTATGTTCGCGCAAGTTATGATAAGCGATAACGGGCACCCCCCTTGGTTGAGAAATCAAGCGCCGCCGTTCAGCTGGAACGTGCGGCAGCTGGCAAGCCTGCGGCGTTGCTAGTTCACCGCTGTGTTATCCGGCTCCCTTTTCCGTGTCGGTTGTTATTATCGGGCTTCGCTCACGACAACAGTTGCGGGTTGTTACATGGGCGTCCCCAGGGGGGGGGGGCAAGACGGGGAACTTGTCCCCCCCCTGGAATAATGTTATTTCCACAGAAATTGGTAAAATTCCAAATGATAAATTAGTTTCTAAAAATTATTCTACTAAGTTTCCATAACATATTATGTCAACGCACGGCTGACGGCTATCTATGAAAACTATCATTTATAATAATCAGACTATTTTATCTTAATGCATTTTTGGAGTGCTCACATGGCAATAAATTATTAGCGGTTTGCTGTTACATTGTGTATATTATCGTGTCACTTACATGATAATATACATATACCTGTCATTATTATTATACGCGGCGCGAGGGTATTCCCATAGTCCCATTAGTTCCAACGCAGCTTTTGATCAAAACGAGTGTCATCACGTTCTCGCAAAAATAAAATATACAAATTTCGACAAGCGGACAAGGTAAAATCTTTTTATAATATTAATTATGGACATACGGAACTTTTTTAAGAAACCTAAATTAGACGATAGTCTTAATGGACCGTTAGATAATACAAAAAGTATGACTATAGAGACTAATTCCACAAGTACAGTTGTTATTACTAACTTGAGTAAAGGTGGTAGTTTTACTGGCCAAGTTGAAAATGTTGAAGACAAGGAAGTGGCTTATTATAAAAATGATATAGGACACTACTTGGCAAATGTAAAAATTGATGATGCTTTAAAGTTCGATATTTTGTGTAATCCGTGGGTACCAACTACTTCATATAATTTTAAAAATGATCTTAAATTGGAAAATGGTCGTCCATTTAGGCACATATGGCTGGAAGAGAATAATACATGGCTATCATATTCGGCTATTGGAGGCGTAAAAGGAGCTTTTTGTCGAGTATGTGTATTATTTAAGCCAAATGTTCACAGAGGTATACAAGGAGGGTTTATAATAAAACCATTCACAAAATATAAAGATTTCCATGCTTGTAGTCGAACACATCTATCTTCACAATGGCATCTTGAGTCAACAGCACGAGCAAATGATTTTTTAAATATTATGAAGGGTAACAAATTAAATATTCTTGAACAGACAAATTCAGGGTTACGAAAACAAATAGAATATAATAGACAAAAATTAAAACCAATAATTTCAAGCATTTTGTTTTGTGCAACTCATGATCTTTCTCTACGGGGAAAAACATCAAATTCAGGCATATTTAATGATCTTTTACTTTTCTGGATTGAATCAGGTTATGAATTATTACAAAAACATATATCGGAGAATGCGGGAAATGCCAAATATACATCACCTCGAATTCAAAATGAAATCATTTCTATATGTGGAAAGTTAATTAAAAATGATATAGTTAATTTAGCTAACGCTGCAAATGCTTTTTCTGTTATTGCTGACGAAACTGCAGATATTTCTGGAACTGAACAATAAAATTGTCGATAGGAATTCGATTTTTAGACAAACACTCAAATCCGCCAAAAATTCGGGAAGAATTTTTAGGTTTTACTCCGTTGGACAAATTAAATGCTCAATCTATAGCTACAAACATTATATCATTTATGACTGACAGTGGTTTAAATTTAAACAAACTTTATGGGCAAGGATATGATGGTTGTGCTACAATGGCTGGACAAGAAGGCGGTGTTAGTAAATTAATTCGTGATAAATATAACAAAGTGTTATTTTTTCATTGTTCTAATCACAGGTTAAATTTAGTTATAAATGATTTAAATAAAATAATGATTATTCGTAATACTACTGGAACTATAAAAGATATAATAAGATTTTTCCGTGAAAGTACGCTTAGAAGAAAACTTATCCCTAACATACCACTATTTTGTGAAACACGCTGGTCGTCTAAATATAAGAGTATAAGAGTATTTTCAGAACATTTTATTTCAATAATGACAAGTTTGAAATCATTATCAAATAATGAAGTACATTCGAATTCCAATACAAGGCAACGAGCTCATTACTTATATTCTGCGGCCTCAAATTCATCATTCTTTATTTCTATGATTATTATGGCAAAATACAGTGCTATTTTAGAACCTGTGACAAATATGTTACAAGGCGTCTCAGTAGATCTATATAAAGTCAGCGAGCATATTAATTCATTACTAATATTGTTCGATAATCATTGAAATGACGCTGATAACATTTTCCAAACATTATTTAACGAAGGGAAATCAATCGCCATTGATTTAGATATTGTCATTACACGTCCAAGAACGGTAAAGAAACAGTCACTAAGAGCGAACCATAAAACTGAGAGTTGTGAAGATTATTACCGAGTTTCAATTTTTATACCATAATATATTGATTCAATTTTACAATCTATAAAAGAACGTTTTGATAAAAAAAATGATAATGCATTTTTACTACAATATCTTCACCCCAACATCTTTAAGAAATTGGAGAAAAAAATGTATTTTGAAAGCATTGAAAAAATTGCTGATTTCTATAAAATTGATAATTTCCAAGCTGAAGTGGAAAGTTGGTACAGTTTTTGGCAAAATAGGGATTGCCAAGATATTGATTTTATCGATTTGTTAAATCGTAACTGTACGTTTTTTCCAAATATAGCTGTTGCTTTGTAAATATTTTTGTCTTTTCCTGCTACAAGCTGTACAGCAGAACGTTCTTTTAGTACTTTAAGGCGCGTTAAACATGGTTACGATCAACGATGGGCGATGATAGACTGAATGGAATATGCATGTTGAGTGTTCATAGAGAAAAAGTAAATTGAAATAAAGACAAATGTATTGAAAATGCACTGACATAGTTTGGTAGAGAATGTCCACGGAGATTAAAATTTATATTTAATGAAAAAGAATGATGTATAATAATAATATTTATAATAATATTTTTTTATGTTTTAATTGTAATAATAATACCTACCTAATTGTAATGTTTTAATTCATAATTTTAATAATGACGAAATATAATAATTTACTATAAATAAAATGTATAAAAAAATTTTCATTTATTTTTTAAATTTTCCAGTTAATGAAAATTAAAAATCCAGTTTTGGATACCACCAGTTCCGGTTCGTTGGACGTTTCATATTGCCAGTTCCGGTCAATCAAGAAAGAAGAGGTCCAGTGAGTTCCTCATTCCTTTCCTTAAGGTACCATATTTTTTAATAATATTATTTGCGATTATAATTTTTAAAGGATAGATGGTCTGTTGATTATATTGTTAGGTACTCGTATGAGTTATTTGTTTTATATGAATATGATATTTTGTGTATTATGATTTATTTGTTGTGTTATTTATTTTTATATTTATTATTTGTATTCCTCATCCTTTCCCTATCAGAGCACGAGTCATCACCGTTCACGAGCCAATTAAGGTAAGTCCGATGTTGGCGAAACATTTGGCAGCAGAGCGTGGTTTGTATATATTTTTTATTAGTGTTCTATGGGGACTTGTTGGTAAGCTGTACCGTGGGTGGTCATAGTATTTCGTATTTATCAAGTTTATTTTAGTTAATACTATCTATTACACTCCCAACCGGAGTTAATGTTATATTTGTTATTATTATATATATATGCTCGCCATGGTTAGGTTAGGTTAGGTTAGGTTAGGTTAGGTAAATCAACCAAAGAAATATGAAATAATTTATTTTTACACTATAATAACAACGAATTTGATAAGGTCTTATCGTACATTCTTTGTTTAGCTTTATTTAAGAATTTTTATTTTAATGAAACATGTGCTATACATTCTTAAATTCAAAACAGTGTTGTAAAGAATTGTACAAATTATATAGCTTATTAATATGAAAACCGATTTTCCCAATTTTAATTTACTGTGCTCGTTTAATAATAATTGGTTAACTTTTTACCATTCATCGTTACATATAATATTACCTGGTATATTAAAACATCACAAGGACCAAAATTATTTGAATTGAAAATTCAATATGTCTCTTACATAATATTAAGGCCATTGTTTTATTTAAATTCGTATTAATAGAGAAGTTCATTAATTGTTGTATTATTTTATTTTTATGTTACTATTGTTGCTTATTATTTTTTATGTTATTATTTTTATCATAATATTATTATTTATTACTATATTGTAAATAATTGGACGTAGTCCGTATGCATTATACATAAATTAACAAATAGGTAGAATCAAAATTATTATAGTTACATTTGTCTTCGAAGTTGCCATACAAATCTGTTTTAAATTACAAACAATTGAAACGATTC